CTATAAATTCTAATTTCAATTTGAAACGGTTTGAAAGGATTTAATATTCAATGAATCAATGTTTTGAAATACGACAACCGAAAGTAATTGAGAACATGACCAGCCAAATAAAACCCATACATATAAAGAAGTGACATAATAAGATCAAAAATCTGTTACTTTATGGCAAAATAATCATGATTTTTTTCGGCCAATTGAATGCTTGAAACTAAAATTCCCTTTTAAAACCAATACTTATTAGAGCGGCATAGTTTTTAACACAATAATTATTACTTACTAGAACAATTATGCAATTATTCATCTGTACAATTTACAACAATTATCATTCCACTGAATATTACTAATCTGAACGATTTCTGAGAAGCAAACAAATTAATAATAATTATACATATTTGTTAGTCAGTTGTTAATTATTGTAATCAATTTTGCCAGAAATAAGTCAAATTAAAATTGCCAGAGGGAGTTTGGATATAATGCTGCTGCTTATTTTAATGCATTTGATTGTTTTTTTTTAATTTTCTTGGAATGCAAGTTGGGCAACTTGGTACAAATTATTTAAAAAAATGTTTATATCAATATACATAAACTAATGAAACAGAAATACATTTTTCTCATAATATATTAATATCCGTTCTTCACTGAAACTTCCATAGGATAGGTATGTGCCAATCCAACTGTAAATTTCGCATTCCCTCCATTATAATATATTCCAACAGAGATATATTTTTGAAAGGCAAAAATCATCCAGTCGGAAATTAAATTTACTGGATTTGAGATGCAATTTAAAATTTGAATACTTTTGTATTTACGTCATGGAAATCTATGCAAGTGTAACTTTGATGCAAATTGCTTAGAAATTAAAAAATATATATATTAAGTATTTCAGAAAATATTTCCTTTCAAAAAATGTAAAATTATGTAATATAAAATAAATTGCTTTTTGAACGTCTTATATATTACATTCTCACATAAAATTCACAAATTTATTGCACTATATTGTAGGAGCAATAAATGCAGATTCAGCTCAAAGGTGGTCTCATATTTGTTTCGTAAATTGCCGCTTGTGCTAAAGCTAAAGAAAGATAAAACTCGGAGGAGAATTCTTTTAAATTTTCATGATGATGTATGTAGTACATACAAGATTATTTTATTCATGTTTTTATTCTGTTTGTATCAAAATTTGTCTGATGTAACCAAAATTTTACACCTATTTACGATAGTTTTTGATATTTCCTTAGACATTTCAAAGCCAAAAGGGAACACATTTAAACCATTTTCTTCCTCTCAAAAATATGTCTCTTTGTATGATTATTTGCTCAAATTTAAGTTGTTTTAAAGTTGAATGTAAACTTTAAGACTATGTTGGATAGATAGGCAGGAGAGCAAAACAAGATAATTGAGAAAGCGATAGGAACAATAAAAGTGCCAAATGGTAAAAACGGAAGAGTAAGAAAAATTAAATTGAAAAAAACTTATTGAATACCTATGCTCACTAATATGTCAACAATACAAAAATAATCCAAATGGTTTGGCATCAAAAAATACAGTGAATCTATTAGAAATAAGAAAAATAACTCTGAATACTTTAATATAATATCAGTTATCAGTCCATTTTATACATCAAATATTGAATAGAAGTAGTATAGTCTAAAAAATGATTTCCCTCAAACAATAACCCATATGGAACACATTTTTTAATCCCTAGCCTCCGCTCCAGCTTTTTACTCTTTATAAACATCTCGTATCATCGTGAGGTAACATAAATATCGTTAAACCGGAGAATGAGAAGAAACACTACCAGTTAGTGTCCTGTTTATTTTCGTATAGCCTGGGTACTGAACGCACATGTTGCCCCGCATCCTTTCGAAATTAAACAGTAGCGGAATGTGGTTTGGCTTTAATTTAAATAATACAACTCATTGGGACATTTTGTGTTTGTGGAAAATTAAATTATTGGTAACAAGAACTGGAAATAATATATGATTTGCGGTCCTGTCAAATTTGATTTGAACTGAACGATTGGGGGGTTATTCACCTGCTGCTGCAGACACATAAATTGCGTAAAAGCAACAACCAAAAAAAAAAAAAACCTTCATACTCACGTCTACCTTCACTTTGGCATGTTTTACGATTCTTTCGAAGTAAAATAAAAACGCCAATAGTCCAATTCCAAACCAAAAAAGGATCACACATAACCATTATAAATATAACGAACCAGTACAATAGGTATGTGGCACCAAGACGCAATAAAAACGTTTTTTTCTTTTTGCAAAATACTCTGAGAGTTGAACTGGTTTATCGTTTCAAGAAATGTCACGCCTAGATTTTTGTAAGCTTTACACATGCTGTATCTTTGAGCAGAAAAATGGCGATTGGGTTATAAAATAAATACTTAACATGGTTTGAAAAGTTGGTAAAAGCTTCCAGAATGTTCTCTTGACTGTTTCTTGTTACTGCAAACATTTGACAGAAACTGATAATGATGGTGCCAGAGGCTGAATATGCAAATTTACCTCAAAATTTACTCACATACAAACATGACTATGATATGAGTAAAGTTTGAAGGTACCTTATCTATCATATTGATTGATTGATTGATTACAAACCCTAAAGATTGAAGATACAAAAAAGGTAAAGAAAGTTCCTACTATAAGTTCTTACCAACTCGTACCACTCAAACAATAATAGACAATAAAATAAATATGTATAAACAAACATCTACAATACATACCTAACAAATTAGGTCATATAGGTATATGTTTAGACTTAGACTAATTTTATTTGAAGAACTCGTAAATAGAGTAATAAGCCCCCCGAATGAGCTCACTCTTCAACTTTTTATGAAATAGCCCTGAGTGCTGCAAAATCCTAAGCCCAGAGTACAGATTTTCCGGACACCCTGTAGATATGATTATTTAACCAAAATTAGATTTTTCATTATAAATCCTACCTAGGTACTTTATTTGTGTAAAATTTATTATCGAAATAATTTCGTTCACATAATATTTATTTTGTTTACTTATGCCTAAGTCGTTAAATATTACGATACAAGATTGATAATAATTAATAGGTAAGTATAATAAGAATAAAGGTTCACAAACTCGCATATACATAACCATTACCTATGTATTAAACATTCCAATGCAAAAACTACTATAACAATGTTGCCAAGCTCTACCAATTGTCTTGGTTTGAAATAAAATATCTTGAAATAGATACATATTTCATAGGGCTTTATTCTTTTTAGACAAAATGAGCAGTTTTTTACCCATGTAAGTAGATAGTGAACAGAAAAAAAGTAAATAATGCATTCATCCAAAAATGTGTGAAAAGTGGAAAATCAGCTTAATTCATTATTAGGTCTGTTTCTGCAGAAATCACAAACCAGTCAGAGTAAATTTCATTGGTTGAACATAGTTTTCTGACTGTTTTCAGCCAATGAAATTTGCTCTGACTGGTTTGTGATTTCTGCAGAAACAGATCTTTTATATTGAAAATCGATGACAAAAAACGAGACAAAAAAAAAAAACAACAAATACAAATGAATTTCAAATTACATTTGGCATTTGGCAACACCTCTTCTGGCATACAGGTAGCCACCTGAGAGGTCTGAAAAATCCAATGAACTAGAGCTAAAAACTGGAATGCGCACACAGTGCCACATCTGCCAAAAAAATGAAGCCACAACGGGGAATGTTGTTTTTTTCTGTTGCTCGCTGACATATGACGTTTTCGAAAGTTTTGTCATATTTCCCTTCACAGGTTTCATCAATTGGAATACGTGTTGGAAGCAATTTTCGCCATTTAACATAATGAGTGCGACAAAAACAGGTATCCCCTCCGCAGCAGCCGCACTAGGCTTCACGTTCGTCCTTATGTGTTAGCATTCCAGTTTTTGGTTATAGTTCATTGGAAAAATCTAAGGAAAAATCCCCTGGGGTGCGATTTTCGAAACCATTAGAGTATATTTCGTACACGAAATTTGACTGACAGCAATGTAAATTAAATGGGGAGCAGTCAAATTTCGTGTACAAAATGTACTCGAATGGTTTCGAAAATCGCACCCCTGGCCCTTTGATATTTTGTAGTTTGAGTTTGTATCACAGGGATACTTTAAGGGCAGATATAGTTTAACAAAATAGAAACAAAGATAAACTTAGTGAGGTGCTTGGGTATAAAAAAACAAAATACGTTTCCAAAAATTATGAATAAAAGTAAATTTTTTTAAAACCGAACCGAAATCTTTTTTGCAAAATACCGTCGAAAATTTTCAATACATGTAAACGTAAAAAATGCATATTTTGCAACGAAACAGTACAAATAGTAGAGTTTAAAAATGTGCTGATCAAAAACTTAAGGTGGTTTTAGATGGTACCACCCTCCAAAAACGAACAAACCCTTGATTTTTTTAAACAAACAAAACATATCGTCGCCTTCTTTGCAAAGGGGCTTATCTCATTTTTTGTGATTTTTCAGGAGAGAAAAAAGAAGTTTTTACAAATATTTTGTGAGATTATATTCGTGCCAAATCTGAGATAGGCCTTCGAGATTACCTATATTTGAGGATTTGAGATACGCCTTTTAAAGGGTAGCTGCAGGTAACTCTTTTGATGATGTCTCCCAAGGGTCTAACTCAATTTAGCAATTTTTTGAGATAAGCTCCTTTGTAAAGAAGGCGACGATATAGAGGCATTGTACGGAATTTGAGCTATTTATTAAAATTTTCTGAAATAAAAGGAGGGTCACAAAGAAACAACTAAGCCTACGCCACTGACACGAGCCAGAGGGGCAAAAATTGAGAAAGCTCGCCCAAAAAAAAACTCTTCTTCTTTTTCTAACTCGTGGACCAAAACTACATGATAAAATGGTACACGGGATTTTAATTTAAAAATAATCTTTCATAACAATTTAACCTCAACCTCTCGTTTGTGAAGGTTACATTACAATTTCTGATCCGTGGTTGCCAAAACAATTCGGTTTTAAAATATCGTGGAACTTACCGGATAATACATTCCCTGGGGAGGAAGAAAAAAAGCGCCGGCACCCCACAGTTTGGCTGCTTGTTTAGGAACAGTTCACACGAAAAAAAGAAAGACTTGCACAAAGGCGAAATTCGATTGGAAACAATTTCTTATTGTTTATTGTTTACATGCGCGTTGTTTTTGTTTTGACGCCCAAATACTTCTTTTTCAAAAATTAGTAAAATACAAAGAACAACGCCCGATCTGAAAGAGAGTTGATCTGTTTCTGATTCACGAACTACCCCGACAAAAGTCAGCTCTAATTATCGGCACCAGGGGCACATGCTTCAAGTTTCAGTTTCTATCCGCAGCCGCTGTTCGTTGCTCGCTGCTATCGGTAATTTCAATTCACTGAATAGTGAATTCTCTCTCTTGCTTGGCTGGTGCTTTTTGTGAGGTGAGGGGACGATCAATGAACGCAATCAACGCGCGCATCCTGAAGTAGAGATGTTCTGTTCTGTACAACACTCGGAACTGTTAGCAAGCACAAGCGCAGGTTCTGTTAGATGTTAGAGTAACAAATAAATAACAGTTATCGGTTATGCTAAAATATGCTCCCTGATTATTTTATACAGAGTGAGAACGAGGAGTGCTTCCAAAAGTTGTAACTTTTAACTTTTTATTTGTATATACCTCCTAATTCCAAATTTATACATTTCAATTGATATTGAACTAGATTAAATTTAAAGTTGCAGATGCAATACTGTGGTTCTAGTCTTGTAAATGCCTAGTTCACTCAGTAGATCTGGTCCAAGGGCTTGTTGAGTTCCAACTCCCAATAAGTGAGCTCAACTTCAGATGTCCCATTATTATGAACTTCTTCTAAAACAACTTTTGTCCACGACTGTTGTGCGTGAGTCCCATAGCTCACCAGTGCCTTAACTGTAACCTTTTAGATGATATTTCATGCCAGGTGCGAATTCCTTAGATTCGAAAATGGTTTATACCATTACCTATACCACCCATCATCTAATTGATCACTTCTAAGCTAGAGAGATTTTAGCCGATACCTACTTGATGGAAATCCATTGAAAATTTTGAAACAAAACCAAAACGTTTCTAGATTTCCACAATTTTAAAATAATAGAAAGTTTTTTAATTGTTTCCTTTCAAAACTTCCAAGATATTCGAAACTCATCCATTCTTGATTCGTTTCAAATCGGAGAGACTCCTGAAAGGAACCTCTTCACGCTGATCAATTCTTGCATAGCATTGGACATTATCGCCTTGATAAAGTCATCTGCGTTGTTATGATGGTTGATTTGGAAATTGTACTATTGTAACTTCTCCACTGATTCATATGTTTAGAAGCCACATTTAAGTGATCTGTTTTTATGAGAAACTCGTGTGGAAATGGTCTACACCCCAGAAGCAATCCTGAGAAAATGTTTTAGAATGCTACATTATTTATTTATTTTCTTCCTCTAATGTTCTGCTTGTTTTTTGTTTTGTTTTCAGGCTTTCTCTTCTCGTCTCCGATAATCTTGTTGTTGTAAAAGAGCTGTAAGCTAAGCTGATGTTTTTGTTTCTATATTGATTGAACTAAATTGACAACAAAATCTACTAATCACTATTTTATGTAACAATTATCTTATTTAAACTAATTGATTTACTTAGTTACGATATTTACCGATAACGATAATTACGAGTTAGGTATAAGCGCGCGGTGGTCGATATCTTCTTTACTACCTACCTTCAGCGCCGGCCTTAGGGGGGTGCAGAGGAGCTAACTGCACCCGGCGGCAAAATTTAAGAGGCGGTAAATTGAGAAAATTATTCAAAATATACCTAAATCATAAAAAAAATCGAACGGTATTCAGAATAATATTTATGAAAAATACTAAAATATTAGGTATTGTTACGAAAATGCATTGACATGGCGCCGCCCGGATTCTAAGAAATTAAATTAGTCACTTGTTTACGTCGGGCAGGGCGCCTTTTCCTGGAATTCTATTATATTCGATTCGATGGTTTTCTATCTAAATCCCAAGTTTAATTGCGACTATATGCATAAATAGAGCTTATGAATAATTTAGGTGAGTTCTAATTCGTTTTTTTGTTATATACCTACCGTTACAAATAGTGATAAGTGAATTTTGGATAATATGACGGACCGATATCGTGGGCCATGTAAAGACATCAATTTGAGATTTTTTCAAAGGCTGGAGATCAAATATGACACGGCTGCAGGCTTGATTGAAGCATTGCATGGCCATGCCTCAGAAATATTAGAGACTCTTCCGCCAGTTTCCCAACAAAACTATATGGTGCGATACGTTAGAGCGTTGTTATGGAGATCAACACCGAAAGCAGCTTTACCAGGTAAAACTAGGAACAAGACTGCAGAAAGCTTACAAGAATTTGAAACCGGCGTCCGCCGTCTGGTTAATTTGGCCTATCCGGAAGCATCAATATAAATGCGGAAGGGTTTCAGAAGCAATCAATAGGAAATATGATCAGGTAGCCATTTATCTAGTATCTATGACGTCAATTCAAGGGAAGAAAAACCATGCATACATGAGGATAGATGTTGGATGTCAGGATGCCCGAGCGGTTTGGGTTCAGGTCGCAGTCGACTTAGACAGGCATAATGATGTTAGCCGAGAGAAATAGATTGAGTCACTATGGATCTGAGTGGCAGTGTTGCCAGACATACGATAGTTATCGTATTTGTACGATAATTAGAAGAAGTTACGATGTACGATCGATAATGGATAAATGTACGATAATTTCTGAATGTTGATAAATTTTGAAAAAGATACACTGAAATCGCTGGAGGTCTATTAAAAATTGAAATACCAGCTCTTTTTTCCAGTGCCTGAATTATTGCAAGGGGTAGGGGATAACAGAAATGAGTAGTTTTTTTTTTTACTAAATGTTTTTTTAATGAAATTATTTTGCAAATACAACTTAACCCCTTCAATTTAAGGAGGCCACCAGCCTCCGATGACGTCATACTGGTAAAGTCAGTTTTGTTGAAATAAAGCAAGTGTTTTAAAGACCAGTTATCCACGAATACTTTACACTGTTTTTTTTTATTGGTACCTATACGTTCAAATCATAAATTACTAATAGTTGTAGAATGCTAAATTCCTGATATGACATATGACATCTGGTATACCTTTCGTTGTCTGACAAATCAATAATTAAAAAGTTGACATTTAGACTTTACCTTTCTTGGGTTGTTGATGATGTCATGGTAACTTTATTATAACACGCGCGTTTTTGAATGTTGGATTTAAACACGCTGAGGAGTACTTTAAATAAGTAGAAAAGGTGATCAATAAAAAAAAATATATACTATTTTTCTACACAAATTTCACATTCTGTTAGGTACCTACTCTGTTTTTGTGAAATCGCCCTTTTTTACTTTGTTCATATTTTCCTTGAGTTTATTTGTGATATATTTATTATTGTTGCTTAATTTTGTTAGCTTATCAGTGTACTGTACCCATTTATGTATTTTTACTAACTTTTAATATTAATTTGTTCAAAAAATATGTTCCACTAAAAGAAGGTTGCTGAAAGCTGGGCAGAAAACCGTTAATCCGTTATACGTTAATTAACGAAGTTAAAAAATTGCTTAAATTTAACTTTTAAGTTAACCTAAAAAAATATTAACGGTTTTCTTAACTTCCGTTACATTGGACTTCCGTTAACTTTAGTCCGTTACATTGGTTTGTTTGAATTGCGCGTCAATGTCAATCAGGACAGTTTGCACAGGCGTAGAAAGATTTCAGTTCGCTACACTACGCAGTTTGGAACTCTTCTGGAATGACTCCAAACCCGATTCCGTACAGTGAGATCGATGCGCAAGCCCTTAGTTCTGTTGTTAGGTAGGCTATGAGCTGAGGCGTATCATTGAGCTGTGACGTTGTCTGCATTTTTCTATATAAGCTCATTTTTCTTGCAGAAGAGAAGTGAATGGTAAATAAATAAACTACCTAAATTGGAAATAGTGCCGCTTTTTAGATCTATGGTTAAGCCAAATCCAAGCGGCAGTAAATGACAAACTGGTCATTTTCATTACAACCTAACAAATGTCCTCTGCGCATGCCAACTACTAACTACTAGGTAGGGTGTTTCAACCAATTAGACTATCCAAGATGCTGTCAAACTTAAATTAAAATGTCCGCCAAGAGGCACACAAACATTTCGTTTGCTTGTCAAAGTGACATTGTTTTGGATAGGCTGACTATTCAAGGTGCTGTCAAACTTAAATTAAAATGTCCGCCAAGAGGCACACAAACCCTTTATTTGCTTGTCAAAGTCACGTGTTTTGGATAGGCTAATAAGAAGGCTGGTGTTTGTTTACAATTTAGGTTATTCAATGTCATTTACTGCCGCTTGGATTTGGAAATGGTGTAGATACTTTTTGTATTCTATTTCAATTACCTATCTATTACTTATAATTAGCCTCAAACATCAGTATAACTTTTCGATGATTAACTCTTAACGGATAACTTTAACTTGCGTTATATTCTCAAAAATTTAACGATTAACGATTATCAAAGTTAACTTTTCAAGTAGCGAATTAACGATTAACGAAGCTAACTTTTCGATTAACTGTGCCCACTATCTTACCGCCTCAAGGTTCTTAGTTTTTAAAGTTAAAAATACCTATATCATGTAGGTATTTTTAACTTTAAAAACTAAGAACTTGAGGCGGTAAGATTTAAATTGCACCCGGCGGTAAATCAGTTAAGGCCGGCACTGCCTACCCTAACAGCACAAAAGGTAGGTACGATGGACGATTTTTTGAAGTCTGTTTAAGACGTTTTTGAAACGTTTCTGTACTATTAGTACTAGAGATCTATAATAATTATTATTATTACAGGGTGGCTCAATATAGGTAAGTAGTAGTGTCCCAAAAGTTATGTTTTTTCAAACGACTCGACTCTTGTATATTTTTACCATAAATATATTTTTACATTTTCGAAATTTTGCTTCAATTTCAAGTTTCTTCTCTCAATAACTTTCTATAGGTACCTACCTATAATATATCTCCAGCCTCCATAGGAGCTACCAACAACAATCTGATGCTTAAACTCCGCAATATTATGCAGAGTAAATCTCTTATGATTAATAAATTATTCATGCAAGTATGAAAAGCCTTACTCATTTCAAATAGTAGGTATACATTATTTGTTTATTTATTATTATCACATCGAAATGCAGTGGAATTTCTGGATATTCATGCTTGGTTCGTGAACATAACGAGACCTCGGCTTTTCAGCACCAATTTAATTTCTCACCTCTTTTTGGAGAAAAAAAAAATCAGCGACTTAGGACCAGATATTGAATATTGACGAAAGCAACCAATAACGGAGGAAATTGAACGGAGAACAAAGCGAGTATGGACAGGTTCTAGGCAAGCTTCCCTGGAATCTTGGAGGAACCAACTTTATCTGAGAAGCAAAATTTTCAACCAATGATATATAGATGGTTGTCACAGTCATTGTGAGCCTTGGGATCAATTTCAAAAAACTGTAGGTAGGTATCTTAAAACTCAAAAGGGACAATGTATGGAAAATGAGCATGAATTATTTTAGTCCGCATGATATATACTATTTTTGCGCCAACTAAGACAAATTAAGTTATTAAACAATTAACTGTTTCTTAGGGTCAATTTTACAAACAGGTGGTAACCCGAAGGTAACCACAAGACACTGGGTAGCCTAATACAATATATTTGTTTCATTAGTGTGGTTGTTGGTCAAGCTCCAGATTTAGGAAGGGTATTATAAAACTGCTTTGACAGTTAACTTGAAGTTAACTTTTTGAATTACATGTATTTTAAGAAGTTAACTTTAAGTTAACTCTCAAAGTAGTTTTATAATACCCACCCTAAGTTGACTTTGAATGCGTTCTTTGTTTATTATTAATTTTTCTAAAATAATATTTGAATTTCAACTAATCACTCGCGGTCGTGGGTAGATAAAATTTTGTATGTACCACAGGCGCAAATGGCGCATTTTTTGAAATGAAAATTTCTTTAGAATCGTTGGGAGTGATTTGAGACTCGATGAAACGAAAAAGCGACACTTTTTTTACGTTCTTTCTCAAGTCTTTTGGAGGGGGGCGGACGCTACTGTGTATGTTAGTTGTTAGTATGTGTGTAATGCATGCAGTTCGATGAAGGTTTCACTTCTACTGGATGCGAACTGCAGACTTTTTTTTTATAACTATAGGATTCAAATAGATCGTGTCTCAAAGGTTGCGTCTCGTGCTTTAATTTTCACGCGATAGGCCGCAAACACCCTAATTGCGCCCCAGCCCAGGTAATACATAAATAACTGTTTTAAACTCCTGGGCCTCGAATGTTTCAGTTGGTGCTGAGCACCCTCAATGGGGAAATTTTGGATTTATAAAAACAAAAACAAATTTGAATAATTAATAGCATCGCTCACCCATATTGAAGATTCGAGCTCACTCCACTCAGCTTCGCATTGGGATTTCATCATTTCTTTCAATTTTTTACCGTTCATTTCCGAATCTGGTCTTAAAACAAACAAATTAATCTATTACTGCGAATAGAAGAAATAAATCAAGATGCACACGGGCCTATATATTTTTTTAAAATCCAAAGCCTACTTTGATTTTTTGAAAGTTTTGTATCTGTTGAGCCGGCAGATGTCGCTGGCCAAAAAAAAAAGAAGAATCCTTGAGCATCGGCAATCATTTCGTAAACTTTCGTATCTAGTAAAATAGTAGTTTCTACTACCGTGTGTAATATATTTACTTTTCGTACTCTTTAAAAGACGTAGAAAAACAAGTATAGAATTTGATATAGGCAATGGATATAGGTATCATAAAAGCCTTTGCCTTTAGACACTGCGTGCATATTTTTAATTTTTGGCATTACTATAAGTAGTAAATAAAAATTACACACACTTGTTGCATAAATGGTAAAATAGCTATTTCTGGGATCTACTTTCGGAACCTGCAACGAATTTCGTTCGGTATTTTGCTCAAAGTGCAGAGCGCGCTGAGCGGTGCCGCAATCACGTGACCAGCGAGCGAACGGAGCAGTTGAACGCTGTATTAGAGTGCCAGAAATTTTAATAAATGAACGCGAATGAGCCTGCACCTAGTACACTTTTTAAATAAACGAACGGTAAATTCAAGCTCGGAGAACTCAGATCAAAATATCGAACGCACGGAAAGAAAACATTGACGTTGACGTCGTAAATGTCAAATGATGACGGTCATGGCGGATAAAACAAAATAAAACTGTCAAATGCCAAAATAATTTTTTATAGAAAGCTTGTTTTGTGTGTTTACACTACACTTTTACTTTTTGCAGTTTAATTTCTAATTAACTCGAAATTCATATAAAACATTGAAAACAATAATTCATAATGCATCGTCGCGGCGGCAAAAGAATTCGCCTGGACGATCCGCCGCCGGAATACGATAACCCGATGACGCCCCATCACGAACAGGATTATTATGGGGCCAATTCGAATTACGTGCATCACGCCGGAGAACCTTCTTATGCGGAACAGGCGGGCACATCTTCGGATGGTCTTTTCGAATCGCCCCCGACGCCAGGGCAGGGCAGACGAATGACCCGGTAAGTTCCATCCAAAGAGGTGAAATGTTGATTTAAAAAGGTGCCCTTTGGTGGGGTGGTAAAAGGGCTTTTCCTTGTATTATTTGATAAACTTTATGGCCATATTTCAATTCAAATATAGTAATTTTGTTGTAGCTAGTAAGAACAAGGGAAAGATTGTTATCTAGGAAACATCTATAGTTTGCTTGCTTAGGGGGCTCTCAGTTTTCAACAAGTCTTGTTTAATAAGAGGAGCATTGAAATGCCAATAAATACAATTTGGTCTTAGGCACTTGCTCAGATAGAGATGAACTTGAAGTAGTAGGTACTTACCTACCCCACCTATCTTTCTTTAATTCTTGCTTTCCACCTCCTGCTCAAGCTCTTTTATTGTAATTATTTTCTTCGAGTAGGTACTTAGAACAACATATATTTTACTCAATATTTATTGTACCTACTGTATTGTTAACCTGATTTATTTTTCCTCTTATTGCATTTGAAACCAGAAAATGTGTCAGGTACATTTATTTTTTTGTAATTGAGAGAAACTGTCCCATGGGTGCAAAATTGCATTTCAACAACACTCTCCATGATTTTTTTCCTCTTTTGCAATCAAAATTTATCCAACTCAGTCTTAAATGTGTTGAAGTTTGTGTTTACCAATGACATCCTTATTTGGACTAAATTATTAACTTAAACCAGTTCTTAAGAATTGCCTGTGCTCTGGTGAATAAATTCAACTAGCCGATTCACATGCAGGATGCAAATGAAGAACTTGCAAATAGGATGCTACAAATAAGAAGAGAACAACCTATTAACTGATTGCAAATACGGTTGGAAAGGCAATGTGTGCTGCAGCGTGGAGGTGGAATTTGGCAAAACATTCAAGATCACAATGATTTACCTTTTCCAAGGTTAAATCTTGAATATCTACAATTAAAAACTTTGGGTACCTATCTATCAAGTGAAATTATCGCCTAAGTATGTCCAAGGTACCACAGAAAGGGAGCTTAACAAGTTTATTCTTCAAATGCAACTGAACATACCTGGGTTATTAAAAGCAAGAGTTAATTCAACGTTTATTCAATCTGTTAAACATTATATACAGTGCGGCCGTAAAAAATAAATTCAATAATTATTCTTCCAAGCAGTTTTTTTTTAAATCCTTGAACACGTCAATTTTTTTTTTTTATTTATTTCCAGAAAATTATTACAATGTTAAACATTATAATACCTATAGAGGTAATCAGTTACCTATACATAGGACTGGTGAAACTTAAAAATTAAACTTAAAATCTACAAAAACCCACCGTGTGCATAATGCCCCTATATAGCTATCACAGGGATATGTGTACCTAACTCAATTTTAGACATGCTCACAGTGTGAAGGAAATACCTACATATTAGGCATTGCTTCAAATAATAAAATATATGAAATACAAAAAAAAATCCATAATAATAACAATAGACAAAATCTTTAGAAAAATCATATAACGAAATAAATTTTAAAAAAAAATAACAAAATAATATGTATGTAGTTGATACTGAGGTTGATACTAATGGTTATGTTCTGGGGCGCTCCAGGATCAAGATTTTCTTGTGAGAGATGAAATTGTGGGAAATGTAATTATTAGCAAAATACTATATTCTTAGCGGATTGCAAGCAATCCATTTTTTCAACTTTTGTTTTACAGCTGCTCTAGTATGCTGTAAGGTTTTATATTTGTTGGGAAGGTTATTGAAAGTTTTAATGGCAGTGATGTAGCTGCTCTTTGTAAATAACGTTCGATTAAATTTAGGTAGAATAATATTTTTACTTCTGGTGATGCTAATTGACTGCATAAAGTTACTCTTTAATTCCTCATAGAAATAGACAAGAGATTCCAGCATAAAGGACTGATGCAAATTCAATGGAACAGACAGATGTAAACTCGGATTTATGGCACCCCTGAGGACAATTTTCAACAATCTCCCTTGAAGCGCCTCCAACATACACTTAACATTGCCATAACCACCTCCCCAGGCTATAATACCATAATTACAAACACTATGAAAAAGGGCATAATGAATTGACAGCAGCATCTTCGGAAGCATTATTTTAGCCAGTTTAGCAAAAACAAATAATAAATATTTGGTTTTATTGACAATACTTTCGATATGAACATCCCACCTAACCTTATAATCAATATGAACACCCAAGTACTTACAACTATCTACTCTCTTTATTTGTTTATCATTTATTTTTATGTTCAAAAAATTAGGGACACTGTCGCAATATGCACCAAAAGCTATATAAACTGTTTTTTGGACATTAAGAGATAACTGATTTAAACCCAGCCAAGTGCTAACATAGTTAAGCGAGTTGTTCATTCTGTTCTGGGCTTTGTTCCATGAATCATCACTACACAATATAACAGTGTCGTCAGCGTAGGAAACAATAGTTTCAGATGGTAATAGAGACAGTAAATCGTTGATATAGAGAATAAATAACAGAGGCCCAAGAATTGTGCCTTGAGGCACGCCATGTGTTACATACATAGGCTGACTGCAATAGTTAGCCAATCTAACTACTTGTTGTCTCTTTGACAAGTAACTTTCAAACAGTTTCAGTGCCACGCCTCTGATACCAATGCAATTCAATTTTTTCAACAGTATGCTATGGTCAACTGTATCAAAGGCCTTAGCCAGATCTAAAAAAGTTGCAATTACAGGTTTACTTCCATCTAAACACCCGTAGACCTTACCCACAACATAGTTCAATGCATCGTTTGTACCACGACCCTTGACAAAACCAAACTGTTTTTCAGATACTAATTTGAATTTTGAGCAAAAGCCAAACAACCTAATATGTATTACCTTCTCCAGTATCTTTGCAATGTTTGATATCAAAGAGATTGGTCTATAATTGGTTTCACAGTGCCTATCACCTGCCTTATATATAGGTATAATTACTGCTGATTTTAGTGTACTTGGCCATATTCCCAATTGAATGCATTTATTAAAAATATGCTGTAATGGTTTAGCAATAAAGTCTTTGATTATTTTAGTAGTTTTAACATTAATACCATCACCTCCCGCATATTTGACTTTCATTTGTGTTATAATTCTAGAAATTTCAATACTATCTGTAGGATTAATAAAGAAAGATTTTTCATTCCTGGGAATTTCCATTTTTTGTCAAACATTTCTTATAAAATAAAATTATTATACAGTGTGGTCGCAGAAAAGCTGGACAGGTACTAACTTAATTTTTTTAAATGGACACCCCTAATTTTTTTTACATTTTCGGATTTCTGATAAAATTCTAAGTGTTTCTCATGAAACATCTATAAATATCTTCAACTGTTTCGGAAATATTGACAGTTGAAAATTGACTTTTTGCAACTTTGACAGGCTGTAGAACTTAAAAGGTTAATTTTAGAGGAAAACCGATTTCACATTCCTATCTTAGATTTTTATACACTATCATTTGACACCAACTTTGAATTTAATTTATGATTAAAATTTCCAGTTAAATTTAATCTCCGGATAAATTCAAAGTTGGTGTCAAATGATAGATGAAAATCTATGATAGGGATGTAAAATTGGTTTTCCTCTAAAATTAACCATTTAGGTTTTACAGCCTGTCAAAGTTGCAAAAAGTCAATTTACAACTGTCAATATTTTTGAAACAGTTGAAGATAGGTATAGGACATGTTTCATGAAAAACACTTAGAATTTTATCAAAAATCTGAAAATGTTAAAAAACTAGGGGTGTCCATTCAAAAAAACTAAGTTACTACCTGTCCAGCTTTTCTGCGACCACCCTGTATAATAATTTTATTTTATAAAAAATCCTCGACAAAAAATAAAATTGACGTGTTCGAGGATTTTTGAAAAAATTGCTCGGAAGAATAATTATTGAATTTATTCCTTACTTTACGCCCGCACTGTATTTATAGACTTTTATATTGGTGCCATTGAAAACGATGACCTCATAATGGGCACATATTGTACTGGGTGATTGTCGAGGTGATTTTCTATATTTTGCACCCACACCTATCTCATCTGTTTGAAGAGATACCCAGAAATGTCAAATGTGAGAAAGTTCTAGGCGAGGGGGCGACCACTCCCGAAAAATATGTACATGTATTGCGGAAATCCTATGATTTCCAAATGTTTGCAGCGATTTAGAAGAATTTTTCTAAAAATTGGCGATTTCGGAGGATTGAGAGGCGATTTCAGTGACTGCAGAGACTGCAGGGAGGATTGCGAACTAATTTTTGAGATTGCGAGGTGATTTTTGGGATTGCACGGTGATTTCTGGGGATTGTAAATATTGCGGAACATAATTCATTCGATTTTTTTACTATCTTTTGAATTTTTCGATTTTAACTGCAGTTTTTCATTCATAAGTTTATAGATAGGTATCTACAGGAACCAGCAGAGCAGAGATATCAAAAATGTGGGAGCACATTCTAGAGCACTTTTTTGAGAAAATAATAATGGCGAGAACAAATCACAGCTAACTTGATGTGTTTACGAAATACATCAGGGCAAAGTTTGTCCAATTTTAAAAGCTTCCAATTTTTTCATTAATCAAGATATCCAAAAACCTACCGACTTTCTTCAAGCAGGTTCATAAGTAGAATCCAGTGGCATGACTAATTTGTTTTTCCAGATGCCTCCGATTTTGGAATATTAACCAAAGTTGTGTTTTTTAAATAGGACACCCCGTATATTATTTTTTCATTGCATAGCTTTTTTGAGCTGATTTCAATGATATATGATTTTATAGCTTTATCTTTATCTTCATTAGTTTTAGAGGAAAAAAATAAATTCCGTTTCTCCATAAGAAACAATGAGCTAGAAAGAGATAAGTCATGAAATAAATTATGTGTTGATGCTTATTCATCATTATCACCCCCAATAATTCATAGTTCAAATTGAAAAAAAGAAAACTAAACTTGTTGAATAAGGGGCTGGTTTCTCAATAGCGAGTCACCCCCGAGTTAAGCATAATTCCAGGGTAAACATTGCAA